TTGGCTGGGAATACCCGGAAGTCTACCCGGATCAGCCCCGGTTGAACTTTCGGTTGACGGTTCAAAACACTAGTTTAACATATGAAAAATAAACCGTTTCCAAACTCTAGTTCAACTATAAATGTCGTAAAAACTATTTCGGCATTGAATTTTGATATGAAACCGCTTAGGTACCTCAGCGGTTTCATATCGAAAATCAATGTCGAAATTGTTTATCAACTTTGTTTACGAATTTGATTATCTGTCCGAAGTGATTTTGTTAGTGAAATGATATGGATCAAAATTAAAAACTTGCATTGCATTATGCATCATTATGACACCGCTTGCATAACATCTCTAGTTATGCTACGGGGCATTAATTCTTGAACGCTTTTGTTTACTAGTTTTTTACTAGTTTAAACTTTGATCAGCAATAACTCGTGATTTAGTGATGATTTTGGTACCATTCGAATCATCTCAATGAGATGATTCAAATTAATGTCCCCCTGTATACCCAATATTTTTCTGATCTGACCTCTTGTGGGAGCTAGTAGCTAAAGAATGTGTGCACTAAATTGCTCTAACACTTCCAAATAAAGTTGGTATCTATCGTAGTTCTTGTTCTCGTGTCACTTTACAGAAAATCCACAAAAAAAAAAGGGTAAAATTTTTTATTTTTGTATTTCAGTATAAATATACTATGTATAACTATATAGAGAAAGAAAACATCCTCACGTTCGCCTGTGAACATTTCTAATGATATGACGTAAAAATATCTTACATATTATTTAGATTCTTTGCATATTCTGATAATTTCAAGTTTTATATATAAGTTTTAACTAGATGTAATTCATGGATGGTTTAAAAAATAATAATGCCCTTCTGTAACATCTATAAAGAATTTTAAACAAAGCAAATCAGCGATTATTTATCCACAATGATAACGATAACATTATTGCACTAGTGACACTCAACTACCGACTGAGGTAACGTTATCCCGAAATTAGGTCTTTGGAATATAATGTAAACTTTTTTATTATGCATAATACAAAGCTGATCTGTAAAGTTTGACGTGCGTAATTTCTCACATATAAAGTTAAAGTTATCCAATCCAAACTAGTTTTAAAATGACACAACATTATTAATATATGATGAAAATGTGAAAATAACGATCTGTAACCTTTTATTTTAATGATTGCAATTCTGCTATAAAAACTACTTTTAACGAAAAGCCAAAAAAAAAAACAAAAAAAAAACAAAAATGACAAATAACCAAGTAGACTTTACTTCTTTACCAATATTGGATTATAGTCTCGTTCATAGTTTCAAAAAAGATGAATTCTTGTCTCAACTTCGTCATACACTTTTCCATATTGGTTTTCTATATGTCAAAAATCATCCAATTCCTGAGGTACTTAAAACAGAGTAACTTTTTAACCGGTTTAAAATAATCATTAAAATATTTTTATTTATTCGAATAGGAACTTATTACCAAAATTAAATCATATTCCACTCAACTTTTTGATCTTCCAACTTCTGAAAAATTACGAATTGAAATGTGTAATTCGCCACATTTTCTTGGATATAACAAACTGGCCGCAGAAAAAACTAAAGATATAGATGATCAGCGTGAACAATTTGATTTTGCGACAGAGACTCCTTATACTTGGAAAGAAGGGGAACCTATGTATAGAAGACTTAAAGGACCTAATCAATGGCCTGATGAGAAATATGTTCCTGGTTTTAAAGAAACCTTGTTGGAATATATTAAAAGACTGACTGATTTTTCTTTAGAATTTACTCAATTAATAGCATTGAGTTTAGGTCTCCCTCCTGATTCTTTATATAAATTTTTGGATCCACCTGATAAACATATGAATCGTTTAAAGGTGAATAATATTTAACTCCAGCAATCTTGAAATTTGAATTGTATAAACTAATAATGAAAATACGTAAATATTATATAATATTATATATTTCAGGTTGTTAAATATCCCCCATTAAATGCATTGGCTTTAAGTTCAAATGATGGTGCACAAGGCGTTGGACCTCATAAAGATCCTTGGATAACATTCCTTCTTCAAGTTAATAATGTACAGGGTTTACAAGTTCAAAACCATAAAGGTGTTTGGATAGATGTTCCACCACTTGAAGGAACATTTGTAGTGAATATTGGGTTAGGAATTGAGGCTGTTACTAGAGGGGTAGCTGTGGCCACAACTCATAGAGTTCTCAATCCACCTCCTGGTTCAATACCAAGACTAAGGTACATACTTTTTATGTTTTTTTCCTAAATTGTTTTTTTATTAAATATCTTTAACAATAACATTATTTTTATTTTTTTAATCGCAATTTTTTTTTTTTTAATGAAAAGCATACCTTTCTTTCAAACGATATCTTATGATGCAATACTTGAACCGTTGGATGTTCCGGAAGATATAATTCGTCAAGCACCAATATCTGTTGTATCTGATGGTATGGTAACGGTAATAACTAAATAAATAAATATATATATAGCTAATGCATTTCATTATTTCATTTCATTAGCTGATGTAATTTATAAGGAGCGTTTTTATAAAAATGCTGGCAATGCGCAGCTCCTGAATCGCATTAGGTAAAAATAAATACTTGGAAATTTTATAATGTTGATCTATGTAATTAAGATTCATTTATTTATTTATTTATTTTTTTAAGTTCACATCCTGATGCAGGCAAACGTCATTATCCTGAATTGTTCGCCGAATTAGAAAAACAAATGTTTAAACCGGTAAAAAAAGCTTGATAAATATTAACGTTAAATTTAATAAATGAATTTAATTAAATTATGAAGTATTAAATTGAATGCATCAAACCAAAAATGAACAATATTCTTTTGTTAAAAGATGCCTAAACATTCTGTGTGATATAAGTGCGAAATATCGTACGCGTCAAAGTCAATCGCGACTATTTGAGATTGAAAAAAAAAACTCTCGTAATAGCTGTGAAGAAACTTTATAGTTATTGCATGCAGAATTTTTTTATAACATTAAAGTCAATCGTGAAGATTCTTCACGACTAACATTCGTTGCATTAACCAGTCATTACTAGAGATGTATCTCGCGAGAGATGAAAAATTATCACGCGCAACCTGCGTTATACCTCGACGCGAGATAAACTATTCGAATAAGTAAATCGTAGTCAAATACTGCGCTCCAACTGGTCGTCAGCCGATACTTATATTATTCGCTATGCAATTTAATATAATAGAAAATAGAAAATCATTAAATGAGTGGCTTAAATGTCTATTATACGTAATATAGCCTTTTGCTGTATCTGAAAAGTGTACCGGGTTGGTGTGCCACAGTGACAAGATAATATTGCGCAATACAGCAATAGAACAAAATTTAAATTTATAAAACTTTAGTTGTTATTAACAATTATACTGTATATATAGAATAAATTACGTAAACATCTGCTGTAGTAAATATTGTATTTTCATTGTTTGCTTTTTCTTTTCGCGCCTTCATTTGTCAATTTTTCTCGTTGCACTAAGAAAGCTGAACCCTAATTCTTGTTCCACTTCAAAATATCCCTTCTGTTAAATCCAGAAGGGGTACTATACTATATATAATATTACGAGAAATTTAAAGCATCCATTGTAATGAATTAAATTAACTTATACCTGTTTCAACGTATTTTTACTAAATCTAATTAGTATAACTGGTAAAAAAATTTGGTATGGAAGCTGAAGTTGAAATTGGCTGAAGATGAAATTTTGACTTTTTTATTAAAATTTTTGGAGTATTTTTAGTTTACCTCAGACTTCAGCTAGCTTCTGTTTCAATATTCACATTTATTATCTAAGTATTTAAACAAGCTATTCAAGAACATTTACTGCATTAATCTATGTTATTC